GTAGGCCTCTGAGAAGAGACTGGTTTGTAATGACAGAGTCTTGTGAATTACTGACCTAGCTAAGAGGCCTGAGGGAAGTCACCCTCATGTTAGGATTCAGAGAAGTCCCATCTATGAAGAACGAGCCTTCACCACAGACTGAATCTTCTGGTACCTTGATCTTTCCCTTCACAGTCTCCAGAATCATGGACAATGTTTACAAAGGACTCCACATAAGGTGCCTTGCCATAGTATCTCAGAGGGATGGAAACAATCCACTTGATTTGGTGTCTGAAGCAATGCAGTGGTTAAAGTTTATGAGAGGAGATCCATTGCTGCGGTTTATGCAACCTTCCTTCAGCCATTCATTTTCCCCACCATGCTGGGCCACAGAAGGGGATAAAGGATGCACATCAAGGGTGTGGACCATTAGTCATTCATCATTCATCACCCTGCAAATATTTATAAAGCACTTCCTACCTATTGATGAACCAGACACAGATTACTATATGGCTATACATAAATGCAGAAGACCTTTCTGTATTCAGCTGTGTAGGCTTAGCCTCATTTGGGGGCTACCTTCACAATAGTTCTGTGGGAAACTGGTGATGAATTCCAGGGAGATGGCACCCAGAATGTCTTTGGGGACTCCTCTTTTAGAATTACTTTAAGATTCAATTCATAATCCAGAGAAAGAAGTTTCAGTACTTTTAAATTATTTTTCTTTTTGTATTTTATAGTTTACTTTATCAATAATGATACACCCACACATACACTTATTCATGCACACACACCATACACATTTACGTAGATACAATTTCACCATATAGTGTCATGAACTATGAAAAACCAAAATCAGTCCCCTTTTTAGATACCTCAAGAGCATGGGTTTTAGCAATGAACATTCCTCGGTCTACTGGGCCTGTCTATGCAACCATAGCCAAAGATCCAACTTTTTCAAGTCTCAATTTACAACAGATATGACAATAAAGCTTTTGGCACTTCCCTGGGGACTAGAGTTAATATCCTTTGAGGTCCAGTGCCGCACCCAGCACAAAGAGGGAGCGCAGCATTTGATTCTATGATTCCTAACCCCGGGAGGAAGAGACTGAAGAATTTCATGAACATTTTGTGCACTTTCAGCAGGTATGCTCCAGAGTGCTGGCTCTTGAATGCCGGGGAGCAACAGTGCATGCTGGTAAAGCCCAGCAGTGGGCAGCACAGCATGAACCTTGTTCTCTTACCAATAGATGGAAAAACCATCTAACTCAAGGGTTCTCCCCATATAGTGGGAGTGGGCAGAAGCAGGAGGGACTGAGAATCGTGCAGTGGTTTAAAGTTTCCTAATGCTGCGACCCTTTAATGCAGCTCCTCATGTCGTGGTGACCCCAACCATAACATTATTTTCTTTGCTACTTCATAACTGTAATGCTTCTACTTTTTTTGGTGACAGAGGTTTGTAAAGAGGTTGCAACCCACAGGTTGAGACCAGCTGCCCCAGAGGGAGTAGTGGAAGCCAGCACTAGTCCCTGGATGCAGCAAGCAGAGCTGTTAAGGACCTCCAGGTTCTAAGACTGCCATAAGATCTGGCCTAAAGGATTAAGCATCCCAGATTCCCCAAATCACATGTTCTGCAGCACCAGGGGTTGAACCCCCTACCTAAGGACTCGTGTACAATGAGCTATGTATCCCTATCTAGCCTGCTTTTTACATTTGCACTTTGAGACAGGGTCTCACTAAGTTGCCGGGGCAGACTCTGACCTCAGTCTGTAGCCCAGGCTTGAACTTGCGGTCTCCTGCGTCAGCTTCCTGAAGAGCTGTGATTATGGAACTGTGCCAACAGGCCTGGCTCTCCACCACCCCTACCATAACCCAGTTTGGCTTTGTTCAGCAGGGGTTGGACAGTGACTATGGCTGCTGGCAGAAGGGTATACCCACTTCTCAGGCAGCTCTCTTTTTCCCCTGCCCTGGAGCCCATGACTCCCTGCCAAGCACAGAAACTACATATAGGAAGTTCTTCAGTCATTTGGAGTCCCCATGGACTGGCTCTGTTCCTTATTAGCCATGTGGCCTTGGGCAAGTCATTCAACCGTTCTTGGTGCCCACCTAAGAAAGCCAAAGGGTTACAAGGAGAATTCGGTGAAATGGAAAAGCACGTGGAGCTTCCTGCTGGGTGCCTGGCACCTGCAATTGATTAGAATGGTCCTATGGAATGTCAGGGCTGGAAGGGGCTCTAGAGATGACCTCATCCTGGTGTCTGATTTCACACGCAGGGTGAACTGAGCACAAGGGAAGGAACTGACTTGCCCAAGGTCACATGGTAAAACCTTGGTAATACTGAATCTAGCACCTTGAGTTTATTTTTGAAATCAAAGGTCGAAACCTGTCATGAGACCCGCTTGCTCTTCCTGCAAGCTGAGCAGTTACCAGCTTTAGGCTCCCTCTGTCCTCCACAAGTCCAATTTAAAGTATCTTTCTCTACTGAGCAAGCAAAAATACATATTTCTACCAAGAAAAAAAAGCCACACATAAAATACTTCAAAACATTATAATTAAAACTAAATAAAAAGAAAGAAAACTCAAGCCTTAGCATCAAAAAGCTTAGTCTTTTAAGCTTTTTTCCTCATCTTCCTCGCTCACTGCCCACCCCCCGATTCTGTAATAACAGTACTGATTCGAGGAAAGAAAAAGTCCTGATGCACATAACTGATATTTCAGTACAATAACACATCACAGATGTTCCTATCGAACTGGGCACGCATGTATGCACAGCATTTTACTGAGAAAGCAGTTACATTGCTGATTGTCAGGTTGAGGGTCCTGACTGACCTCTGCCCAGGTTCTGATTGCTACTTTTTCCAGTCAGCCTGCTGCTGCCCAGAAGGATGAAGGAGCAGTTTCATCACCTCCCTCCAAAATGCTATCAGGACAAATTGGTGCCGTCAGGCTTTCAGGCAGGTGGTGAAGGGTGTGCAGATTAGGAAATGAGAGGACTCCTGTTTTCTTTTGCCTGAGCCTTGTTTTCTACAGCCCTTTCAAGAAGCTGGACCCAAGAACAATTTGAAGAGCGGGCCCAGGCTGGTGATGGGGTGGGAGTGTTTTTGCAACAGAAACTGGAGTCTGTTTGATCTTCAAACATGGGCTTTGGAGACTGTCAGCGGGCTCCTTGCTGGCCGATGAACGGCTCGCAGTAACTTTTCCTAAAACATAAGCTCGCACACTCTGCAGCAAATGTTTTCAACCCACCAGAGCCGTCATTTGGTTGAACAGCAGTGTTTCCAGACTCCTGAAGAAAGATAGTTTTGTTGTTTTAAGAGAGACAGATTAAAGCCAGGGACTGTTTAACCAGAAAGCTCCAGGGCTCCCTTCAGCCCTTGTCAGGTTTCTCTCTGGTTGGTACAAAAAGGGTGTCAAGCATGATAGTAGATCCCCCCCCCCACCTCCCAAAACTAAAATAGATATCTATGGAGGCTAGACATGAGGAATATGGGCAGAGAAGCCGCCCACCACAAAACTGCCTCCGAAATGAGATGGGCGGGTGGTGAGTGCTGGGGGCCCCTGGACCACTGATAATATCAGCTCACGAGGCTGGCAAGGAGAAAATCACTTCAGAAGAGGAGAGCCGCTCTGTTCAGAGGGCTCCGCGCTGGGGCAGAGAATACACAGGATTTTCCCCGTGGAGATGGAGGCAGGCATAGTCAGAACCCTGCGGGGCGTGACTAACTGCCCCAATATTCCTGCCACCGGGCCCTCTGGGTAAGGACTCCACAATTATGGGAGAGCCAGCAGGAGAACTCACAAACCCGCCTTTCATTTGGCCGGCAAATCAATCTGGCTTCTTACCTCCCTGGGGACAATATTGCATTTCCCCTGGAAAAACAAAGGCCAGAGATCTCGGAAGGGGGATCAGCTTCAGCAGCCGTTTCCCTGGTGAGGAGCTTGCAACATCTCTGGAGCAATTGGGTCTGATCCCAGGGATAGAGTCTGGGATCTAGTCATCTTATGAGTCTATCACCCTAATGATGAGCACACACGCCTTTGAGGCCACATTTCACTTAGGGCATCAACCCAGACCCTGTATTGGGGCCTCCTTGTGGTATCCACAAGTCAGGAGTTCCCACCCGAGTTGACAGCTCTGTTCTCTAGGCACAGATTTGAACTTACTGTTCCCAGGGTCTCAGAGTTGAGTTTGGGACCAGTGAGTTGTGAATGACCTCTGTCCATAGAGACAGGCGGTTAAAGACTTTTTGCTGGATCAGGTCTCTGACAGCCAGAGACTTTAAAAGCTCTTAAGCCCCTCCCTTCTCCCCTACTCCCTAGGTTCAGAAATCAGAACTGTCGATCTTAAGCAAACACACTTCTATGAAATTATTACCCCCAAAACTCTCCTTTGCCCACTGGATGCTCCCCCAGTCTTAAGGAGGCAGCTCCAGAGTAGCAGACCTCAGCGAAGGCCCCAGGGAACTGTGAAGAACTTGGCATCAACCAGCAGACCTGTGCTGGTGGAGGCCATGCCCACAATGCCTTCCCTGCCAGCACAGCCTAGGCACCATGCCGTCCACCTCTGTGCTGTTTCTATACAGACCCACTCACAGGTGAGTGTCCAAACAAGCTCAGGACAGCCTTGAGCTCCAAGTCCCCAGGGCCTGGGAAGCCTCCTGCAAAGGGGCATCTCCCTCTTTCTGTTTTGTATCACTCTGATGCTCCCGGGGAAATTCTTTCTGCTCAGGCAAGCACAGCAGGTGGAGAGTGGATATCCCCCAACAGGGAACCACCGGAATGGAAAGAAACACCCAAACTTTGGCACGTAGTAGTTTCCCCTGACCCCCAACAAAGCGGCCCAGTGCTGTCCCAGAGCCAGAGAGAGGCTTTGGCTTGGGGCAGAAAGCGGAGGGCAGGGGTTGGGGGATGGGACCTGGCTGTGGTTCTCTGCTGGAGCAGGACAAAGATCAGAGACCAGGCAGGACCAAGACACTGTGGGGCTGGGGCTGCTGGCTAGGCTGGCATGTGGGTGTTCCTACCTGGGAGAAGTTGAGCCCATTGAGAGGATGGCACTGCTCCTCAACCCGCTCCACAGCCCCAGTTCTCTTCTTCATCTTCTCAGCCTGCTGGGCCAGGTAGAGGTCCAGCACAGGCACGCCCCGGGAGCGCACGTCCGTCTCGGTGAGCGAGTTCACCATCAGCATCACCCACACTGGCCTCTTGCGCTCCCAGTTGCCAGCAATGGCATTGAACAGGTAGTCAGCATAGAGCCCTTTGCCGCGCTGTGCTGGTGTCATCCATGAGGGCATCATCAGCTTCACGTAGTCCAGGTGGCGCTTCAGGCGCCAGTAGAGCTCTCTTGGCAGCACGTCCTGCAGGTTCTCCCCGTGGGGCAGCAGCTGGCAGCTGGCCAGGGCCGAGATGGTGTAGGGATCCGTCAGATCCAGCTCAAAGTAGACGCGGGTGCTGGCCTGGAAGGCTGCTTTGGAATTATCAGGGATGAAGTCCCAGACTCGGGTATACGGAACGTGAATGGTGCCAAACAAATAGGCTGGGGGGTGGCGCCGAATAGTCCATAGGAAGGAGTTCATGTCCCTCTGCTACAAGGAGAGAGGAGAGGCAGATCAGTGAGGCCAAAGGGAGCAAGAGCAGAGCCAGGCTTGGCACAGAGACGTGGCAGGGGTAGATGGGGCCAGAAGGCAGAGGCCCACTGGCAAGGGCTTTGCAAGCTAAAAGCTCCACACTCAAATGCTATCTTAATTGAATAATTGGCAGAGTACATCATATCACTCCCCACAGACTCAGTTTCCTCTTCTGTAAAATGGGGGTGAGGATGGAAGTTATTGGCAGGCTTGCGAAACAGAACACACATATCTGAAGCCCTCAGAGTGGTGCCAGGCACAGAGGAAGTGGGCAATGAAGGCAGGCTCTCTTTATGACTAGCTTTCACTGTGAAAGCCAAGGACTGCCACACCACCTGAGAACATTCATGCTTGGCCAAGGCAAACCTTCACCAGTAGTGTTTCATGTAGAGGGTGGGGAGAGGCGGGGGGACCAAGAGTCCTGCTCTGGCAAGAGAAGAGGAAGTCATATAACTTTTAAATACAGCCATTAGAAGACACATGCCAAGAGCACTCTGAAAGCAGAACACCTATTAAAAATAGCACACCTATAGCAACAGTTACTTCCCATTCGTCCCGGTGGGTAAGGTTTTCTTCTTGGAGGGCAGATCTGGGGTGTTAGCTACTTTGCGCCACTCGCTGAGACCATAGATGAGAAAGTGTTCTAAAACCTTGCAAAGCCAAATCAAGTCTCAATTTCTGGTTTCGAAGGAGAGGATACCATAGAATTAACCCCGAGAAATGTACCTATCCTGGGTGCTTTCCAGACTTCCCCAACAAAAAGGCCTACCTGGTTCTCTATCTCTAGGTCTGTCTTTTTCTGTGACCTAGGATTGCACGAGGGTTGTGTGCCTCGAGTAGGGGCACAAATACCAGGGCTTTTTTTTTTTTTTTGTCCCGATTAAGATTTAGAAAGAGACAGGCGTTAGGAGACTATCATTTCTCTCAGGCAAAGCCGTTTTCCATCTAGAAAAGTCTCGGGAGTAAACAGTGACCACTTACAAACTTTAGGTCAAGTCAACATTTTTCTACCTGATTCTGACATAAATGCAAAGTATTTATTATGGGTGGTGGAAGCAGCACCTTGCTTTACCAACAAGATTTGTAAATCGGGATGCACACTAGACAGTGCATACCGGCTAGCCAGCTCACTTCTTCTACACAAGGCAGGCAGCATGCTGAGCACCTTGCCCACGGCCAACCTCTGCCCTGCTACTAGGGCAGCACAGGAAGATCCTGCAATAATGTTCTGGTCTCCCGGCCTCCAGGAGTTCAGATTAGTTACCAATGTATTAATCTCTATTTGAAGAGAAGGGAATTAGGATTAGAAAATCATGAGATTCTGGGCTTGGGGAGGAAAACTGGGGGAAGCAGTAACTACTTGACCCCCTCAGGGAAATATTAGACAAGCATGTTCATTCTGTCATTTCCGTTTCTCTCCTCTGAACTCTTATCCCTTTTGCAGGAAACAAAACCTATTTGGGGACAATAGGTGCTGGGTGGGGACTGGGGTACAGAGGGAGAACACCGGGGGGGGGGAACCTATGGTCAGAAGGAGGGGCAGGGAACGAGGGGGAAGCCTGGGCAGGGGCACTGTGTGAATGAAACAGCAAAAGGGCTGGTAGAGTGTAGAGACGGGCAAGGGGTGTTGGAAAGAAGTCAGAAGCAGGCGGAAAGAGACCAAAGGGTAAAGGCAAGATAAAAGACAGGAGAGTTGAAAGCAGGCACAGAAAGGGGAAACGTCCAACCAAGACCAAAAGTCTAGAGGAAACTGTCCGCAAGTGAAGAAGGAACCGTCTGGGCTGGGCTGGGCTCAGAGTTGGAGCCCTAGAGGACGGATGCTAGGGAAGAGAGCCCGGGCTGTGCCCAGAGGGCGGAGGTGGAGCGAGTGGGCTAAAGAAGGCAGATCCCAAACCATCGCCCCTTGGGCTAGAGTGCCCAGGCAGGCGGGAGAGTGGCGGGGCTGGCGCTCGCTCACCGATCCGGGCGGCCGGCACTGTCCTCCGTCAGGGGGTTGCGGGCGGGCGCGGGCGGTGGTGAGGAGGGCGGCAAGCAGCGGCCCCGCCAGGGCGGCGTGCATCCTGCCCGGCCCGCGGGATGCGGGGGACCCTCCTGGGCAGCGCCCCCTCAGCAGGGCGGGGAGCCCCCAGCTGGGCACCGAGGATCTTCTGGAGCACAGGGCTCCAGGCGCGAGATGCTGGGAGCCCGCTGGGGCGTGGCTGGATGTCCCTGTCGGACCTGGGGGTCCCTCTGGGGCGGGGCTCCGTCTGTTGGAAGAGGGGGATCCTCTGAGGTGGGGCGGGGCCCCTCACCAGGGCGCGCAGCCGGGTTGGCCAAGCCCCGGAATTCTGCGAGCGCGCAGGGGTCCTGGAGCGCGTGGCGTTCGGGGAGCCGCGTCAGGGTCCAGGGGTACGCGGGGCTCCTGGGGCAATCCCCAGATCCCGGGGTGAGCGGGGGATCTCGGGTTATGCTGGGCACCCGGGGCGCGCAAGGGTCCCAGGGGTGCGCGGCGCTCCAGGGGGCGCGCAGTGGGACAAGTGCGGCTGAGGGCGCGGCGGGGCGGGGGTCGGCTCTGAGGTGCCCGGCTGCCCCCGAGCCCGGCTCAGAGGGGCGGCGGGCGGCCGCGCGGCCGCTGCCCGGGCTCCGCCATGCTGCTCCGCGGCCGGGAGGGAGGGAGAGAGGAGGGCGGGAGAGCGGCGCGGAGCCGGGCCGGGCGGGGGGCTGGGGCCGCCGGGCGGGGGAGGGGAGGACCCGGAGCGGGGGGCGGGGGGCCGGGGCCGCGGCGGGCCGGGCCGGGCCGCAGGGAGTCGGAGCGAGCTCGGCGCCCGGGCGCGGCGAGGCGGGGTCTGCCGGGCATGGCAGGCGCTCGCTGGCTCCGCGCTCGCTCTCTCGCTCGTTCCCTCGCACGCGCGCGGAGGGAGGCAAAGCCCGCAGCAGCCACTTCCCAACTTTCCAAACTTCCCAGCGCAACTTTTTCCTCTCCTCCCCTGCCTGCGCCTCCCCCTCCTCCCTCTCCTTTCCCCTCGCCAGCTCCGCGCTGGGTTGTAGCTCGGGAGCGCCACCGCCAGAGGGCGTCCGTCCTGATGCTCTGCTCAGTGGACCGCATGCAAAGAAGTGAAAGTCCAATGGTCAGTCAATGACAAATTTGGGGACATGGGTCAGCGTCACCAAGCACATCCGTGAGTCTTGTAAAGAATAAGCAGCCAACAGGACAGGATTTTGGTATGTCGAAGAATGAGATGGTCGCTGGCGATCCAGGGAAGGTAGTATTTATTTACAGTTTTGTGCATGCCACTGTGCCTAACACTGGCATGCATTTTCCTAGGATCTCTGCAAATGCTCTCTGCATTAAAATAAAGCATGCTCAAAGAACGTACAATATTTATCATCAGAATTCCTTGGAAACTTCCATTTAGTCAGTCATTCTCCTGTCTAGTTCCCTGGGTCCACATAAAATCCCCGTGTGTGGCTGTGGAAGGGTTAGAATTCATGTCCATTTTTTATGCTATAGGAATTGAAAAGGTTCGTAAAAATCAAACCTCTTCTGTTCCCTGGAGGCAAAGGAGGCCTTAATGATGTCGTTGGATGGAAACTTTCTGTCACTAGGCAGTGGTTGCACAAGCATTTAATTCCAGCACTCCGGAGGCAGAGGCAGGCAGATCTCTGAGTTTTAGGTCAATCTGGTCTATAGAGTGAGGACAGCAAGGGCTAAACACTGTCTTGAAACCAAACCAAAATAAAAAACAAAAATGTAAACCATGAAACCCATCTCATCACAGCAAATGGGGAGAGTGAATCAGGGCACAACACACACACCTCATTTGTTAAACAAGATAAGCACATTATCCTGGCAGCTGAGGTTGAAGGACAAATTAGGTGATATTATCAGAAGTCTACAGCTGACAGACAAGGTCAGATATGCAAATAGACAATTAGAATACAGTCGTACCAGAAGCCCAAAGAAAGGCAGGTAGAGGAAGGGGTCCTAAGGCAGTTGGAGACAGGGCAGAGACGTTGGAGGTGATCTTGAATAAACAGTCAGCAGTAGCTAATAGAAGGAAGTGAAGCAGTTGGAGCAGCCAGTGCCAAGGTGTGAAAAACGAGAGCAAAGGGCCTTCAAGGGATTGCCCACAGAAGGCAGGTGACAGGAGTTGAAGCTCTTTCTTCATGCTAGGCCTGGGAGCACACCTTTGTATATATACAGTTGTGAGAAGATACTCCACAATTTGAAACAGAAGGTGGCTAGCGCACACCTCTCCTTACAGGGTACATGGGTTGAGGGAACAAAGTGGAGGCAGGGCAGGTAGTGGGAGCCAAGGCCTGATTATAGGCCTCCTGACATCCAGCTGAGGGCTCTCCTTACCTCTTCTGCCACACTCAAGCCTCGGGGCACTTTGAGCAGCTGGAGAAAAGAGTCTTAGAGTTTGAGTGAGGAATAATAACCTGCCTCTCTGAACGAGACCAGAAAGGAAGGAAGGACCAGACAGCGACAGTTTGAACCCCACTCGGCATGCGAAGCTTCCATTTTTCCTTAGGCTGAAAATAAATACGTGTTGGCAGTTGCCAAAAGTGCAAACTACTAGGTACCTGCCGCAATTTGTTCTGCTCATCGTCTTTGTCACACCTACCTGGTGACAGATGTTGAGCTGCCCAGAGTGCTCAGAAAACAGGGTACCAAGGCACAGCGTAGCAGCTCTGTCTCCCACAGACAGAGAGCTCTGAGAGCTGCAGCTGAGAGAGAAGTCTGTGAACGATACTACGGCAGCTCAGGCCCCCCAACTCCTGCAGAGCCACCCATCTCCTTCGTAAGAACAGTGAGTTGGTTAGAGAGAGAGTAGGAGGTTAAGTCCACTGGGAAGTAAGGATATGGTCTTCGCTGGAGAATTGAAAGATGGCACACTAGGAAATTAAAAAAAAAAAAAAAGGACCAGACCAAGTTTAAAGTGATGGTATGTGTGACTACATGTTGGTGGTTTTTAAAAGTCTTCCTTCCTGTAATTCTAATGAAAATTTTCTCATATCTTTTTCTCAACATGATAAAGGTTTCGGGAGGCAATTGTCAGAGGTCCAACTTCCTCCGTTGAGGCCTCTCCTAGGGCCGTAACTGAGCAAGGGCAGTGCACATCTTGGACCTGGCTTTCTCCAGCTCTTCCTGACCTCACTGTTTCTCGGTGAATCAATGTGTGGGATAAGGCCTTAGGCTCGTCACCTGTCTTGCAATGGTGTTGTTAATGAGACACAAGAGCAAATACATTTGTCAATCCAAGAGAACTGAAAATATATAGCAGTATAAATCTCTGCGTGCTACTGTGCTCTTCCCAATAGCCAGAAGGTGGAAACAGCTCAGCTAACTGTCCATCAGCTAGTGAATGGAGCGCCAGCTGCGGCGTGTCAAGACATCAGGCTATGTAGCTTAAAGACATATCCTTCTTAAAAAATGAGGCATAGGGAGCTGGAGAGATGGCTCAGGGGTTAAGAGGACTGGCTGCTCTTCCGGAGGACCTGGGTTCAATTCCCAGCACCCACATGGCAGTTCACAACTGTCTATAACTCCAGTTCCAGAGACCTGATACCCTCGCATAGACATACATGCAGGCAAAACACCAGTGCCCATAAAAATAAATAAATCCTTTTAAAAGTGAGGCATACTCAGGATAGAATATTTCTTGGCTTCTGAGAGGACGGAAGGGAGCATGCAGACAGAGGCAGAAAGCAGGATAGTGGTCACCCAGGTCTAAGAGGAGTAAGGAGATGGAGGGACCATAACAAAGAGGTGTTGGGTTTCTTTGGGAAGGGCTGGAAACATCTCAAATGGTGGTGGTGTCCCAGCTCTGAGTAAACTTAAAGAAAAAAAAAAAAAACCTTTAAATAGATATGGCTCCTGAAGCTGTCATCCAGAGCAATAAACAAGACCATGGGTTTCAAGTTATTTTATTTTTACGTATGTGTGAGTCTCTGTGTGTCTGCCACATATGTGTGGATGCCCATGAAGGTCAGGAGAGAGTGTTGCATCCCCTGGTGCTGGAGTTTGAGGTGATTAAGAGCCACCTGAGGTGGGCGTTAGGGCTGCTCTCGGGTTCTCTGCAAGAGCAGAGGGTGCTGCTGTCTTAGCCGTAGGGCCACTTCTCCAGCTCCTTTCCAGCATTGTACAGCATTTCCTTCCTCCTGTTTGGCCTTGTGAGATAAGCCCTGGGTGGTGTTAAATCCTAAATCTTAGGGACTAGAACACTTGGGAAGTTTCATCATCCTCTCTGGACGTGACAGTGAACTGAGGTGACCCACCACCAACATAAACCAGCTGGTGGGCGGAGTGACTAGCCAACCATTAAAAGTCCCTGCACCCAACACTAAAGCTCCTCCTTGAAGGCCATTGCTGGTGGAGGGCATTTAGGCAAGATGAGAAAGGGCTCTGGGCTCAAGGGGGGCAGTGGCTGCAGACGCTAGATGGCTCTGCCTGGGGCACATCCGGACCACTTTTCTTTTATTGCGTCTTAATTAAGTTGTTCAATCAGGTTGGTACCAGGAATCTGTAGGCTGTAACAGCAGGGGCAGAAGCCTTGTAGCGTAACTAAACCAACAAAGTTGGCCTCAGGATCCCCGCTCTGTTGAAGGGTGTCCCTTCCAGGGTCAGAGATGGGGGACTTAGCTGCTGGCTCAAAGGAGGAGCATTGCTCTGGGCTGTGGGCCACCGGCCACACCAGTCTTCTTCAATGGGCATGATCGGACTTCTGGCTCTGACTTCTATAGCCAGCTTGCTTCCCCTGGCCCCAAGCTCTGTGTCCTCTACCCCAGTCTCACTTGGAAGTTAATCCTTGACAAATGGAGAACAGGATTGCTCCTGGGATTGGGGAGAAAGGAAGGGGACCGAAGAATCAGGCAAAGAAAGGCAATGTTGAAGACAGTCTAGAGTGAGAGAAAGCACCTGAAAAAAATTGCAGACACCAAAATGACAGAAGTATTCTGTCACTCAAGGAGAAAAAGAGGCCAGTGGCCACTAAAGAATAGTAAGGGATCGGGGTTGCCAAGTAATAGGGTGACATTCCTTAAAGACAATGCTATGGCGACACAGTCCAGTGGGGACATCTTGGGTACAGAGGAATCAGCCCCCGGTTTAGTCCT